AAGATGAATCATTATCTAGAAACAAACACCAACAAAAGTATTATTTAATGCATAAAGGATATCAAAGACCTTTAAAAATTATGGAAACAGTTGGAGAGAACTGTACAGAGAAGTAAGGAAGCAGAAAAGAGAAAGGAAAAAGCATTAGTATTTGCAGCAGGGTAGTAGATTGGTTTACTGGAAGTCCATTCTCATGCTTATAGGTTCTATTATTCACGTACATCCTAGGGTAGTACAATCCTCTTCAAGGAGCAACCTTTTCTCTATATTTTCTCTTAATGGAGCACAGGCTATGTATGGTTGGTGACTGTTTTTCCCAGCACTTAGGGGAATGTTTATTCAATATTTTTTGAGTACTGATCTGAATTGGCAAAGTACATTAGACAATAAAAAGAAAAAAGGCATAGACCCTATCCTCAAGGAGTTTACAATCTAGTCAAGAATATAAAACAGGTGCATAGATCACCATAATGAAAGGCAGACTCAGTGTCACAAGAAAGATAAAAAGCACCATGAGTGTTCAAAAAAGGGAAGAGAGTATATCTGGTTGACAGGACTCAGAAAAGGTTTTGTGGTGACAGTGATATTTGACCTAAGCATCAGAAGGTGGCTTTGTGTTCTGACAGGCAGGATGGGAGGCAGAAAAGAAGACTTTTCAAGCACAATAAAAGAATAACAAAAATTAGAGATAGGAAAAACATATCAAAAGTGTTAAAAGTACTCTGAAGTCAGACAGATGTTGGCTACAATCCTAGCTCTATCATCACAGCTGTGTGACCACCACCAAGTTCCTGAACTGTAAAATGTGATACGGTGCCTACCTCACAAAGCCACTGTGAGAATTAAATAATGCATGTAAAATGGTTAAACTGTCATGAATATATGTATTGTCTGATTTAAAAGAACACATGGGTAGTAGGCGGACAAGACAGGCAGTGGTCAGACCACGGAAGGGGTTAAATGAACTTGACTCCATACAGTCAGTGGAGAAGCCAGAGGAGATTTTGAGCAGAGATGTGACAGGGTAAGGTCTGTACCTGCAGCGCACAGGACAGAACGAAAAGGAGGAGCCAGGGAATGAGAGGGATTAGAGGTAAAGTGGCCAATAACAGCCTACCTTCAAAATGCCAAACAAATTTCATTCTAAAACACTGAATCCATCACCAATCAATCAATCTTTACTCAAGCCACAAAAACTAAAATTCAATCATATTCTTTGGTACAGAATATGTACCAATTTGGTGCCAGTTCCAAATAAACCCCAAAGCTACTTACTGCCAATAGTATCAACCTAAACATCTTATGTGCACTAAAAATAAGGTAGACGTGTTAAAAATAACATGTAAAGACATCAGTATCTTCACACCATTTGGCACAATGAAACAGGCTTTTTCTTTTAAGTGCCCAATTGTACTATCATTCTGCTATGATTTTAGGAGTAACACTGTGCTGACTGCATAATCCTCCACAAGATGGCACACTACATTTGTAATTAAATCAGTTTTTCCACTTTGAAACT